AAATCATGTTATTTAGTATCAAAGGAAATTTAGAAATATGTCATATATATAAGTATTTTTTAAACATTCTTTTTATTTGCTCTGCTTTATCATCCGGTTAATTATTTCACAATCAACTGAATAAACCCTTTGCATAAATCATCCAAACCCTTATTGATTAACACGGTTTCTGGGAATAATACAATTCTATTGCACAGCAAGAAGGCCCAGACAACTGGAGGTGTCGGTTTCAAGGTCGTGCATATCTTATTTTGAAGGCAAGATCCTCTCTGTTCCGGTACAGTTTGACATGATGCATGCTGCTGTATACCGGATCCCGAAAAACTCAGCGGGAGCGCGGATCCATGCCCTGCGCGTTCCCGGTGCCTCGCTTCCTGTCCGGCCCAACCCAGAAACCAGCCTCAACCAATCGGTCCTGATGAGGTCATTCTACTCTGCTCTGTTATAGTCATTCACTCTCATCAATATATGACAAGAATATATATTACAAAAAATATATATTACAAAACACATTGTCATATTTTCTTGATACATTGAAATATATATATATACATTTATTATATATATATATATATATATATATATATATATATATATATATACATTGAAATATATATATATATATATATATATATATATATATATATATATATACACATTGAAATATATATATATTTCAATGTATCAAGAATATATGTATATATATATACTTGTTTTATAGTGATCGTTATCACTCTCCGCTCAAACACACACCGCACACACGCGCCACACACACACACACACACACACACACACACATACACACACACACTATTGGCAGTTTGTTCAGCTTCAAGCTGCTTCTTAAACTGAAGTGTGACCTCTAGTGTTCTGACACCGTGTGTGTAGACGGCAGCGAGGCGGCTACAAACAAACGGCCCTCCAACAGCGACACGCTTGCATTTTAAGATTTCTAAGAAACTCCAGGATCGTGAGATAAAGTCAATCTGGAATATAAAATACAAATCTAATAATAATAACTTTATTGAGACGTCTCACACTGACCCGTGAGCTTGTTTTAACGTGCAGGTGTTATTTTCATGTGTTCATTATTCTGCACAGTGGCTCTGAAACATCCATGTGTGTATTACAACTATTTGTATTTCATCTGTATTTTATCTAAGATGAAATGACCTTTGGCCTCACAGAAACCACCCAGAGTAGATTCAGCTGCATTCTCATTTGTATTAAAGCACATTCTAACCAAATGTTGAACAAACTGTAGCACAGTTATGAAAATGGATGGATGAATTGATTGTAAGATATTGTATGATAAGTATGAGGAAAGCTGCAATAAGCTGTAATAACATGTGCCAACAAGCTAAATGTCATATTATGACATTCTATTGCAGCAGAACGGCGGGACTGTAAAGTGCTTTTGCACAACACAGAACCCTGTGTTGTGCAAAAAGAGAAACCTTCATCCTTTAGCGGTTATACGGAACTCAGACGCTGCAGCTGCAGAGCACAGAGTAACACCTTACTTGTGTGTGTGTGTGTGTGTGTGTGTGTGTGTGTGTGTGTGTGTGTGTGTGTGTGATGAGTAGGAAGGAAGGAAACAGTCATTGCCACCAAAACCTCATGGATTTTGACCTTTTCATTGTAGATTCACATGAAAATAACCCAACATATAAACCTCAGAACGGAACATCTGTTTTGGAATATTTAAGCAAAGCGGTCTCGATTTCGAGTGAGCGAGGCGGATTGAACCGCAATATATTCGTCATTCAATTACACAACATTTAGGGGGGAGAATATCAAGAGGAACACATCTCCCACCTCTGCAGTTCATCATGGCTGCCGCCAGTTCTAATCTGTCTTTCTGTGTCGGTTGTTAGTGAAAACGAATCAACTTTCATCCAACAGTTGGATAATAATTCAACGTGGACGGTATTTCACAAGGCTGTGAAACAAGACCTCCCAAAGAGCCAGTTAGGTCATCACCCCTTTTATAGTCCTTACGTGTGTATGTTCAATTAGGGCCATAAAGACCTGCTTCATGCTGATTGCATGTGTGTGTGTGTGTGTGTGTGATTTTACAGGAAGTGAGAAGGTATTACTTTCTGATTCATCATCACCTGTTGAACCTGACTGAATCAAACTGGAGCCGTACTCAGTGAAAACGACGGTTTAAACTAAACAGACAGATTTTCTTTTATCAAAGTCAAGCATCACGTGACACGTGAAGACACGCATAAAAAGAAACAACAACTGTTGTGCGTTTTCTTTGCAACGGGTGGAATGTAAACTGCGTGAACACTGATGATGAAATGAGTAAAGATAATATGGCCGACATCTTTACCTTTATATGTGGACCTCATGGATGTAAACTCCATCTGCTCCCGACCCCCCACACACACACACACACACACACACACACACACACACACACACACATCACAGCTTCGTTGAGCTCCACATGGACCACACATGCAGCAGCTGGCCACTAGAGGGCAGCTGCTGCCCACACTGGACTTTAGGCACTAATTTAAAGGGCCAGAACTTTTTTGTGTGTTTGGTTCCGGCCTTTTCTCATGAGAGAGTGACATCTGTCGGGATCAATTCACGGGTCATTCATTGTCTTTGCCAGCAGGTAGTGACTCACTCAGCCAATCAGATCCGTCCATTCAGGTCTGCGCTTGTTCCGGTGGTGGGGCATGAGGGGCGGGATGAGGGTTTTTATTGGTCTACAGCCTGTCAATCATCTGGAATGGCACTTTAGGGGTAAACATGAGAAGGAGCATAGCGATTGAATGTTGAATGAAATTCTCAGTGAGTGTTTATTTAATCTGATATTGAAATGATTATTATATGTACGCTGTCTTAGTGTGGCATTATGTAGAGCTACTTATACATTCAATTATATACTATATGCAGTGATAAGTGATATTTTCTTTCTAGTATTATTCTTCTGTAAAACCTTTGAAAAAAATGGACGGGTGTACTGAAAATGTATTTAATTATGTTACAGCAATATATAAGTAATTTTCCATATATATATATATAAAAAAAAAAAATATATATATATATATATATATATAAATGCATATATATTAAAAAAAAAATATATGCAAAAAAAAAAATATATAAAAAAATAAAAAAAAATATATGCATATATATATATATATATATATATTATATATATATATATATATATATATATATATTTTTTTTTTTTTGTTTTGTTTATCAAAACTACAACCGTGGGAAAGAATTGGTTCATTTATTAATTAATTTAATAGGGAACTGGTTTAAATGGACTATTTCATTCGGTATAATGCTGTATATACTTTTGGACATTGTGAAACAATGAGAGCAGCAGAAATACGCCACTGTTTCCCGACGACTAAAGTGTTGACTGTAACTTCGGTAAGAATGGGGTTTAACCCCGCTGAGTGTTTCCAGGCAACACACAGATGTGATGTCAGCACGACACAGAATGTGACCGTGTCAGCACTTTCACTCCGTCACAACACAGAGACCAGAACGGGCGGCTTTCGGCCGGCTTCACCTTAATCTTGCACATCAGGTGCGTTTTCTATGAAAGAAATGCAAATGCAAGAACAAAAAAATATATTCTAATATTCCACAGAAGAATAAATTGTGACTAACTAAAAGAAACTGTTGCTCATGATCAGATGGAAACATTTGATCCCACACTCTTTTTTTAAAGGGGTTCAAAGGCTTATGATCAATAAATGACAGAATCGCAGGTTATCTTTTACTGTCATCTTTAATTCCTGTATTTAAGGCGTTATTTCATGAATTAAGGGACATCATCAGCGTCAGTGGCTGGCTGAAAAGGTCAATATGGCATCATCTTTTCTTAACATAAATGTGCCACTGCATCACATTGTTTTCACTGAAAGGGCCACATGGAGGGTCCTTCGTCTCCTTGTCTCCTTTTACAGATCTCCTCTTCTCCTTTTGAAGATGGATGCAAATGTATGCCGTTTGACCGGAAGAAACCTCATCACCTCCAGCCCTCCCAAGACCTGCAGTGCCGATGGCTCGGAGCTGGAGTTCGTCAGCTCCTACAAACACCTCGGCTTCTGGTTGGACTCATCGCTCTCATTTAACACACACATCAAAATCCTTCTGGCTAAAGTCAAAGCCAGACTGGGCCTCCTCCACGCACTCTGCCAAATTCACCCTTGTGAAAATGAACACGCTTCCTCTATTTGACTAAGGCGATGTCATTTATAAAATGGCATCAAAGACCACCCTCAGAAAAGTGGACACACTCCACCACTTTACAGATTGGCCCTTCCTTTCGCACCAGGCGGCTACAACACTGGCTGCTCGTGGCCTACAAAGCCCTTTTTGGGAATGACCCCCTCCCGGCCTCTCAAATCTTCCGACAGCAATCGCCATTTAAGATCCAGTGACTTCATTCGGGCTCATCATTCCAAAAGTGCGTACTGTGTTTGCTCATAACTCCTTTAAACTCACCGCTGCAAATGATTGGATTGGACGATCGCCCTCACCTCTCCCAACATGTTCCAACGTACGCTGCAACGAGCCACAGTCGCCTGCTGTACTCGCTGATCTTCCATTACAAAGAACTTCCAGTAATCTGCCTTATTTGTACTTGTGGTTATTAATTGAACTATGTTGTTTTTAGCTATGTGTTTTTATGTGTTTGTCATACTGCATTGTATCTGTGCTGTTTGTGTCACTTGGCCAGGTCATCATTGCAAATGAGTGGTTCTTAATTGATTTTAAAATAAAGGTCAAATAAATAAAATTAAAATCCTCTCTCCATTTGAGAAAATGTGGCTGAGACTTAAACGGTTGAGCAGAATCGCTGATTTTAGTTCTGCTCTTCCCTCCTGCTGAACCACAGCTTAACAACCTGCCGTCTCCCTTTACCGGCAAAACACCATCATCATTTCCTGTTTCCACTTCCAAGTTACAAAGACGAGTTTCAGGTTTTTTTTTTGCCGTATTCTAATAGAACGTGTTCAGAGGGAGGGTGCGCGCTCGGCAGCTTGGTTTCCTTTAGTCTCTCTCTGCGTGACAGCGTGAGACACCGCAGGATGTTCCCGACTCCCTGTGCGATGGCCTGCGTCGCCTTGGCGGTCCTCAGCCTCTGCCGGCCCGCGTGGAGCGGTGAGTACGAGCAGACCTTTAACCAATGGGACGACGGGTGGTTTCCGACCACGTGGAATGGTAGCAGGCGCTTCGAACGACCTCTGCTGGCTCGACGCAACTGCAAACCCGCGACCTCTGCGCTGACTGTCTCTCCGTCGCCTGAAGATGAAGTGACCCTTAGAGGGTAGAGGATGAGACCCCTTCTGTAACGAAACAGGGAGCCGTCGTTAGAAGACACTTCTGTCTTTTTAATCTCTGATTTTAGGTGTCAAAAGGCACGGAGATCGACCTGCTTCAATTTGGTATTTAATCAGCAATTGTTAAACATATAGGGCGCACTTATACAGTGCAATACATTGGTACAGTATTTCTGGTAATATGTTTTAAAGATTGAAACCGCTATCTATAGGCTACAGCAGATATGTAGCTTGAGTTAGCATCTAATGAGCTAACAAAGTGCTCCATCCCCCTTGTACGACTTAAAAGCTTCTCTCTGGTTTGTTTAAGTGACTGTTTCACAGGAGTTTTACGCTATGGACTATTTTCTTTGGTTTTTAAGCTAAGCTAACTGGCGATTCTCATCTAACTTTCACTAAGAAAGCAAAAAAAAAAAACGCATCTGAAAGTTTTCTCACACTGCTTTGCAAAGCAAAACAAAGCAGCGCTGTTGAGTCACTTCAATATTTCAAACTGTCACCCTTCAACACTGTAATTCAGTAATAAACTGGACATTTTGCACTTTTTAGTGACAGCGACCGGTTACTGTACATCTTTTAACTGCCTATTTTTCTGCCAGCTGTGAAGATAATCCAGCCCTACAGAGCGCTGAGCACCAACGGTACGGCCCGGGTCCAGTGCTTCCTCCAACAGCGACCCTCCAACCACGGGATCCAGCCGACCTACCAACGAACGCCGCCGTACCCGCACCCGGAGCCCGAGGAGCTCCGCGTGACTCTGCTGAAAGGCCTCCGGGACACCCACCGGTTCTGCTCGTCCTTCCTCAGCTCCGCTGGGCAGAGAGAGACAGCAGCGGAGACGGAGGGAGAGGCGAGTTTGTCTGAGGATGGATGTTCACTTATTACAACTGTACCAAAAACAATCAAACGTTGAAGCCCTGTGGGCGCCGTGCACGACAGCTCACCCTGGGTCATCTGACCGTGTGTGTTATTGTGGAAGCGTCTTTTCATCCATCACCACAGTAGTATCTCAACTTTGTCTAACAATTTAGGGGGCTTTACAAAGTGGTCGCATGGACGCCAGATTGGCTTTCTGAGATGTTTTTTTTTTTTTTTTTTTGCTGATGAGTTCACAACTCGGCCAGAGGGTGGCGCCAGAGTCCACCACGTCCAAGAGCAGAAGGGAGCCTAAACTGAGACCTCCTCAGAGTCCTTGTATCTTCCAAACGCCGTTTGTCATCTACTGGAGACGAGCTGAGATTGCGCGTGTGTTTCCAGGTGCAGTGCTCTGCCCGGGTGACAGGGGGCGCCGTGGAGGTGACGCTGTCCGGACTGAAGGCCGCGGACACGGACCTGTATCGCTGCGAGATAGAGGTCTTCTACCCGCCGCCGTACCTGCGGCTCACCGGCAACGGCACGCTGCTTCACGTGTTAGGTGAGGCGCCACCTGCCCACGACGCACACGTCTCGCTTTCCTGCCTCACTTTCCCGTCATCCGTCCCTTTTCGTCCACAGGCAGCTCCGACTGTCCCGGGCCTCGGGGACAGACGGCACAGCGGGGTGGCGATGAGGAGGGTGACGGGGGCGATGAGAGGAAGGCGCCGGTCAGCGTTCCTGTGGTTGTGCTGGTGACACTTGTCATGTTTGTCCTCATCGTCATCATCTACTTCCAGGTCTGTGAATAAACGTTTCATTTTAGACAATTCGTTGTTCCGTTTGGTGGATGCTGCATGCTAAAAAGTGAACATTTCAAAAAGATATTGCCATAAAAATTGCCATTTGTTTGCCATTTGTTTGTTGCAGACACACACGGTCAGTGTAGAGAAATTGTGATTTCCGATTAAACTTAAACTCCTTTACTGAGGCCTGGACTTGTTTCAATCCGATTACCACACGAGGGGGTTGAGGACTCATCCGTCCATCAGCTCCCGCGACTGGATTTAAACTACGCCGTCTATCACAATTGTTTACTGCGTTAAAACCGGTGCTTTTTTTCTTCTTCTCCATTCGCAGGCCGTACAGTGGAAACAAGGGAGGAGGGAGGATGTCCGACTGGTATCCGGTGTGCTTCACAAGGTGGACGCTGCTGCATTTTCATGTCAAAACTTTAAAGGGAACACCCACTGAATATTCCCGCCGGGCTCATTGCGTCAGTTGAGCACCGTTGGTTTTGAGTGGAGAGTTTGGGGATTACGTGGTTGGCGTTGACAATCCATTTAAAATCACCTCTGTTTTGATTGAGGTTTCTGTTCTTTTTTTTACCGCAGCTATGCAAGATTGCATTTTGTGCATGTGGATATCTTAGCGAGGATAAAAAAAATGTTGCTGTAAACACAAGATGTGAAACAAATGTGGGGCTTGATTCTTCAACTCAGTTAAAGTTTTATCCTTTAAATTACAAAACTGAAACGCTTGAAGTTAAACTTAAAACTGCAGATGGAAATGTGACGCAAATGGGAAGTGGTTGTTTTTTGTATGTCAGTTTATTTTGTTGCCATTGCACTGCAGCAAATATTCATGTTGGACATTTCATTGGACCACAGTTGCTTTACTTTAAATTGAAATTTTGTGGAATGTGTTATACTTTTTAATACCTGAATTTTTCAACAACCAATAACACAACTGAACAAACCAACAGGGTGACGATATAAAAAGTGGTTAAAATTTAATCATGGATGCTAAAGGAAAAATATAACAGTGGCAAATAAGTTGCCTATTTCTTTCATGCTTGTAAAGTTGTCATGTTTCAAGAGCTGAACAAAAACAACAAATGCATTCAAGTGAATCATATTCTTTTATAACACTGGTAATTGCAGTTGATCGAAACACTTCTTTCCCTAATTATAATACAGGTAGATGAAATCCAGCGTTGTGATTGGTTGAGAGTGAGGCAGCTATTTACTTACCGTTTATAATTTCGCTGGTAACCGTATTATAAAAGCAATACGGAACTTGAGGCAGCACTTTATCTTCAACAATGTAGCAGTTTGAGGAAGTTGTTTGGCTCGACGCGTACAGCCTCTCGTACCTTATTGCTTAAATAAAACACAGCAAACTACGCTACTGAGACGTGAAGCAAGCTGTAGTAAAACGCGCAGTTCTTCGAATGACCACTAGAGGGAGTCGTTCCCCAAATGAAAGGAAAAATTCGAATGAAAAACACATTTCGAAAGAATTGATAATGACAGAACAAATACAAATATTTTATTTGCCTTAAAAATCATCACACTTCGGTTGGTTCATGAAATATTTTGCGGGTCTTCACCTCACCATTACCGATGTCTGTCTACACCCGGACACGAAGAGTCCACAGGAATCAGAAAACATTTATTAGTCAAAAATATGTCAAACATACACGGAATTTGTCTTGGTGGTTAGTGCGCGACAGTAGACAGACAAGACAACAGTGCACAAGTAATAAAATAAAGTGGAATGAAATGCTAATGCAATGGGTTAGTAGAATAAGGCTAAGGCTATGGGTTAGTATAAAACAAGGGAATAAAGTTAAAAAATGTTAAATATTAAAAAGTTAAAGAAAAGTATTAAGCATAAAGTGCACTAACAAACAAGTAACAGACAAGAGACAAAGTGAAAAGTGACGACAAAGTGATGAATTGCAGTTAAAGTGACGTGTGCAGTGTGAGGGGGAGTGACCGGTGGAGTGTTATAGTCAGGCAGTGGGGGACCGGCTCTGTTGATGAGCCCGACTGCCGACGGGAAGAAACTGTTGGTGTGGCGGGAGGTCGTAGTCCTGATGGACCTCAGCCTCCTGCCAGATGGAAGGGGCACAAACAGTTTTTGTCCGGGGTGGGAGGGGTCGGCCACGATCTTTTTAGCTCGCTTCAGAGACCTGGAAGCGAACAAGTCCTGCAGGGACGGCAGATTGCAGCCGATCACCCTCACAGACTGCAAAGAAGAGAAGAACAAGCCAGTTTAATTTCTCTATGAAAAAAGCAATGAGTCAGAGGCTTCCTATTTTTATTGTGTCTGTGGTCGCCATTTGTCTCACACACGGACGCAGATCTCACAGAAGCACAACTGAAAAACAGGATGTGGACTAAAACTGTTAACTGCAGTCATACCAAACCAAATCTGTTAAAAAAAACGGTATATTTTTTTAACAGACTTTTTCCACTGAATTGAATCAATAATAATGTTTCATGCATTACAGGAAGTGGTGTGATAAAAAAAATGTTTTTACAGATCCTGTTCTGTAGATAACAATAGTTCCACCCACAGACACCACGCAAGCATCAGAGTGATGGTTGAGTGGAAGTTTTTAAAGCCATGAGGCCCCCAGAGCAACAAATACTAGCTCATCATCCAACCTCAAACCTTCCCCTTTCCTGTTCAATAGAGAGCTCGACGTGAGAATGAGCTTCCTGAGTGTCTTTGTGCTGTGACGGACCGTCAGGTTCCCTTCTCATTTCACCACAGGATGAACATCTTCATCATCTTCACTATTCCTCTCAGCTGCCTCCTCCACCGGAGCCACAGTAGGTCAAATACTATCATAGTTTTACCTCTAATTCTAATGTGTGTTTTATTAGGGTAAACAGTGGGACGAATGAAAGCAGCATAACTCACTTTTTTATATGCTTCTGCACTGTAGAAAAATTCAAGGGAGTTCAACTTGAACACATAAGTTCAATTGCTTGCCAAATTGGATTTACAATTTGGTACAACTCAATTTTTAGTTTAACTTTAGTCTAACTCACTTTTTTATATGCTTCTGCACTGCAGAAAAATTCAAGGGAGTTCAACTCCCTCAACAGCACAACTCCGTTTTTAGTTTAACTTGGATTGCTGTGTAAGTTCACATGACTGTAGTCATGTTTATTTAACTTGGCAACTACGTTTAAAAGAAACAACGTATTATCGCGCATTCTGTTCACTTGTTCACAAGTAGCAACGCAAGCTTAAAAGGTGTGTAACTCATCATGCTTTCTGTTAACTAGGTCCAACTAATTTTTTCAACTCGCTTAGTTTAGTTAAGGAAATGTTCAAATGACTTTCCTAGTTAATTTAACTTAAAATCATGCGTTGTTTTCCGATGACAATTTATAGTTATGAGCAACACCATGTCTTGTTGCAAAAATCATATTTATTTCTCACATTAAAATAAATAGTTTTTACATTTTTACATGCAGATAACGACTTCTGTACTGTACTTAAACAAAATATTCAGTGCCGTTAAACAGGATAGTCACAAAAAGTTCAGACAAAAAAACCCTACAATGCAAAATGTTCAATGTTCAGACAGACAGAAACATTTGTTCAACAACTGTTCTATCGTGTCTCAGTGGTGGGGTCTTCCGGCTGTTCTAATCGGCTGTATTAATCTGCCGCGTGGTTTAGGTTCGTTCGCCGTCTGGTTTTCCGTTGGTTAGTGATACAGCGGAGCAGACAGACAGCTGGCGACCTGGTACATTACATTACATGTCATTTAGCTGACGCTTTTATCCAAGCGACTTTCAAAAAGTGCATTCAACCATAAGGATCCAAACTCAGAAGAACAAGAAACAAGTGAAAGTGCAATTTTCTCAAATAAGCCAATTTACAATTTGCTAGAGATGAGTGGTGTTACAAGTACAATTTAAGTGCTACAATTTGTCAGTCATTAATCGAGGTAGAGTCTGAAGATGTGAAGGCTCTCTGCGGTCCTGGTGTCTTCAGAGAGCTCGTTCCACCATTTCGGCGCAAGGACAGCGAAGAGTCGAGATCTAGTTGACTGTTTTGCTCTCAGTGAGGGAGGGACGAGCAGTTTTGCAGATGCAGAGCGGAGAGTGCGGGTTGGGATGTAGGGTTTGACCGTGTCCTGGATGTAAGCTGGACCCGATCTATTCACAGCATGATACGTGAGCACCAATGTTTTGAACTGGATGCGGGCGGCCACCGGTAGCCAGTGAAGAGAGCGGAGGAGTGGAGTAGTAGGGGAGAATTTTGGGAAGGTTAAAGACCAGTCGAGCTGCTGCATTCTGGATGAGCTGCAGAGGTCGAATGGCGGTAGCAGGGAGACCAGCCAGGAGCGAGTTGCAGTAGTCCAGGCGGGAGACGACAAGTGGTACAGTCCGATTATACATAACTTTATCCCTCAAAATTATTTAAATGGATTAGTAGCATAAAAAGTCACGCAACACAGAGTTCACGAAGGGAATGTATTTCTGTGTAGATTGTGACAATTTAACATGAGGGTCCAATTAGGGTTGCCACCCGTCGCTTAAAATACGGAATCGTCCTATATTTGAGAATAACGTTGTGTTTGTAGTGGTAGATGTACTTTAAATAATAATAACTTGCTCAATTTTCAACAGATTTTTTTTAAGTGTCAGTACTACATCTCTGACATTTATAACAAACCAAAGATTTGAGAATTTTTCAGTCTTTTACAATAAAAAGTACAGACTGAAAACTTTTCTCCCATCAGGTTTCGAGGTGATTCAGCCTCAGAATCGGACCGTAAACCCTGACGGGTCCGTCTCCATCAGCTGTGAACACACGGCCAACGTCGGCTCAGTCGAAGATGTTCGACTCAACGCCATATCAGAGTACGTGTCCTGTTAATTGATTTCTTTTTAATCCGTAGTTGTAGTGCATCACCTCATTTGCATAAACAGTTCATCCCACGCTGTGCAAATATGAAACCATAAAAAAAAAGCTTTACTCAATCATTCAGCATGTTGTGGATCCCAGTTTGCCGTTTTATGTGACAGACTATTTCTTGGCCTGGTGTGCTATTATCACATTCTCTAAATCGTCTTTGTCTGCTCTCAGAACAGACAGACATAAACCTACAGTGCTCTGCCAGAAGGGGAGGAAGGACTGTAAGAACATCACCATGCTCCAAGAGAATCCCCAGAAATGGCTGTTCATCATGCTCAACATCGGGCCAGAGGCCATGACTGTGAAATATCAGTGTGAGTTCACAGTGAATGAAGACGACATCCACAAAACCAGGATGGGAACGCCGAGCGAACTGCTGCCGAGTACGTTCAACGCTCTGCACGGTTTGTAGAGAAGAATTATGGTCACATGCAACACACGTGTTTCCACTTTCATATATTTAAACTTTTGGGAACGTTTTCTTGGATCTGTGCAGTTGGTTAAACGCTTTGAATTTCTATTTGTGTTGTAAACCAGAGAAGTACAAACAGGAAATTAACTTACCAGTTTGTTTTTCTTCAATCCAAAAAGAAGCGGCCTGCTTGGCTCAGCCTTCACCTTCTTCTCGTCCTCCGTCTCCGTCTCTGTCTCTTGAGATCTTCTGGATTGCGATTGGTCTGCTGGCTCTGATGTTCCTGTACAGCTGTGTCATCCCCTCCTTCTACATCAGACTGAGGGTGACTATGTCTCTGTTTGTCTTTCTGTCCCTCAAAAGACAAAAGGAAACAACAAAAACACTCAAAGAAAATCTTATGAATTACTGTCTACAATTTGGGAAACATTTGGACACCAATTTGAACCGAATGAAAGGTTATAATGAATGTTCCAGGATAGTTTAATTCTAAAGCATTTCTATTCATATCTGTACCTTTAATAAATAATACTGCGTTATTCGTAGGTATCCCACAACTCCTCTATGTGTATGCAGCACAAAAGTAGTACCAGTTCTTCCTCAACTAAACCAACTCTTTTTGTTGCTATTAAATGGAAGTCAATTTTGAATAGACTGCATTCATGAGCAGAAATCGACACTGTTTCTGGCTTTTGCAGGAAAAATCAACCAAAAATGGACTCAACAAAAATGTTTATGTGATGTTTTCTGTTAAGCAGTAAGTAAATCGCTGTTGCAGCTACAAGTCTCAGGCGCCATATGAGGCTTCATTGAGCTCCACCTGGTGAAGGAAAGAGAACTTTGGGTAACCGTTACTTTTCTGTTTCTGTGCTTCAGTGCAGCAACGGAGAAGCTGGGAACACCACCTACGTAGAAATGAGGAAAGCTCCTCGGCCAAGGAATCCACCTCTGTGACTCCTCTTGGTCCACCAGCGGCCTCGTGCTCAATGTGTCAATGTGGCGTCAGGAGGACATTGGGTTGTTTGCTGCAAATTATTATTATTGATTTTAGCATGTTGACCCACATTTTATTAGCAGTCAATAATCACATGCACCTGGCGGGACGTAATCGGTTACAGGGAGCGCTGGTACTGAAGCAACTGGCCAACAGGATAACAGGACCTCCCCTCCCCAATCATCACAGCTACTATTAAGGAACATGAAGCACGGCACGAGCAGAGAAAAACGAGAGGAAGGAAACAAGCAGAGGACAGAAAATGCAGAGGTCGAGCAGAGCAGGGTGCGATCAGGCTAAAGAGGAACAGGACGGAACTGGACACCACACAGAGGAACTGAAAGGAGCCTCGAGTTCGAGTCTCGCCCAAAGTTGGCGAGACTGGAATCTTGTTGACATCTCTAGTTTTCTTGTTATATTTTACTTTTGAGCCCAATTTTAGGTTGTGCTAAACTTCCAGATTTCAAAGGCAAAGGATTTAAGAAATACATTTCTTCATATAAATGACTGATTAAGTCATCTTTAAACATATAAACTGTACTTTATACTTCAAGTAATAACAATGTCTGGAAATCTGAATTGAGACTTAAATCCATTTGTATAACGTTAAAGAGTACTTGTGTAGTTGTTGGACTTGTCAGGAGGTTGCATCACATGTTGACAGGTGAAATTCTGTCTCCTCACAGAGTTTGCATCATGTTTAATTTAGATCATGTGTTCACATTGGAAGAAGGACGATAACACCTGACTGGAATGATCCCTCTGACAATAAACAGTTCGCAATCATCTGACATCGATACAGGAGGTGTGAATCCTTAATGAGAGCGATTCACAAGAGAGTGATGACGTAATGTTGAGGTTTGTTGTGTAAAGTGCTTAGAAAAAATCCAGTCTCACGGGCTTGAGGCCATCATGTAGAGGTTGAATGTGTGAATGAGAAAGTACTAGTCTAGGTGGCAGATTTTGTCAGCAAAGAATTGCCTCCTTCCGACAAAAGGCACTTTTGGTTATATTTAGTTTCCCACGTTTGTACATTTCATAGCTTTCACATATCATTTAGCTGACGCTTTTACCCAAAGCGACTTTCAATAAGTGAATTCAACCATAAGGGTACAAACTCAGAAGACGAAGAAAGTGCAATTTCCTCAAATAAGCCAATTTACAATAGATGAGTGGCGTTACAAGTACAATTTGTTGGTCATTAATCGAGGTAGAGTCTGAATAGGTGTCTATAGTCTATAGTTTGCGGCGGAAGATGTGAAGGCTCTCTGCAGTCCCAGAACTGGATGCGGGCAGCCACCGGTAGCCAGTGAAGAGAGCGGAGTAGTGTGGAAGACCAGTCGAGCTGCTGCATTCTGGTTAAGCTGCAGAGGTCGAATGGCGGTGGCAGGGATACCTGCCAGGAGGGAGTTGCAGTAGTCAGGAGGAGATGACAAGAGCCTGAATCAGGACCTGCACCGCCTTCTGAGTGAGAACAGGACGTATTCTCCTGATGTTGTAGAGCGTGCATCTACAGGAACGTGTTGTCGCAGTAACGTTTGGAGTCAGGAAGAGTTGGCTGTAGTGTGACGCCGAGGTTCGTGGCAGTCAAAGTGCCAAAGTCAGGTCTTGTGTGGGAGAATATTTTCCCAAAAAAGAAGGTCAGTCTTGTCGGGATTGATTTTCAGATGGTGAAC